AGCTTCAATGTATATATCTGTAGAATATGTCACAGTCATGGAAAAAATATATATATATTATTTAAAGTCAACACCTCCTATATCTGTTTCAGATTAAAAGCTCTCTGGCGATTCTGTGGACAGAATCCATTCATATGTTAACAAAGTTTTTATTGTATGGTATTTATCAAAGGCAAATTCAGTAGAGAAAGATAGGGCTGGCAGCAGCCACGCAGATGAACACTGTGTGCGTGCCAGATGCTGCTGTTCAGTGCCATAGCTGTCGCACGCTGCTCAGGTCAGCAGTCTGAACCCAGTGTAAGATGTGTTGGCATTTAGCTCAAAGTACCACTGTGCCTAAGTAGCTACAGTACAACCTCATAGCTGCCGTATTACTTTAAACTTCATAACTTCCAGCCAGTCGGTGGCATTTTCCCAACAGCAAGGGGTGAAACTATTTCATAAATGACACTATAGATGCTCCAACATCTTTTACTGCATTTTGAACATGTGGAAAGTCACACATAGCAACACATAGCATTTCCTAAATGTTTTGTAAAGCAACTACTGTTTCTCAGAGAAAACTAGGAGGGCACTTAGAGAGAGCAGTCCTCCGCCAAGGCCAATAATCAAGTCTTCTATAATATCTGCAGAGCACTCGCTTTAATTACGACACGTTTGAGCAGGTCAGAAACTAATTCTGTATTAATCCCCAAAAATCACATCCCTGATTGCATATTTCTTACTGCTGCATTTGTTTCTACAGTGATATTTTAAGTGACATCTTGCACTGTTAATGAAAAGTGAAGAATAATTTGTGTATCCATCCTTTTGGACCGTTCCACCACGTTTCATGGGCCAAGAGCTTTTTGACAATCCTGCCAACAGAGACACAAACAAACAGCACTTAAAACATAACCTTCTTGAAGTAATAATTAGATGGGCCTACCTCAAAGGCTCTTTTTGCAAAAACTAGGAAATTATTTACATACTGTACTTAAATCACTGGTGTTTAATTAGGAAACATTACGGGCCAAAAAAAAAAATTTAAAAAGAAAAAAAAAAACACACCTCAAGGAGGCCACGTTGCAACGTAGCCTGGCACCCCGTGATAACCACACAACTGGCTGACACAGCTGCAGAAAGCAACAAAACACCAGCAGTAAAACAAATCAGCAAGCTTACTGGGCACAATAGCCTGGCACAGCGGCCAAATAACCAGACAGTCACACACCTGCAGAAGCAAGATCCACTCCTTTTAAACTCACTGAAACAGCAGCATACAGTGCGTGCACATGTGCTGAATAAACTATAACATGCAATACTGCACAACAGCACTGAACATTATTTCACTTTTGTATAGTGATTTAGTCAGTTCTGGTTTAGGAGAAAAGTACGGAAAGAACTTAGTCTGTGTGTCACCGATGACCTTGCCAGGTTTGATCAGACTGGCAGTTGAGAAGAGTGGTATCGCTGTGCAGTTTTGTCATGAAGGATGCACCAGGGCTGTGGTTCATCTTGGGAAATATGTCACTGGGGCTGAATCACACCTTAGTATCAGCTTGATCTTTACCCATGAATCCTCAATGTGTGACCCCCAAAGTCTTTGGTGGCCAATAAAAATCTGTGTACATCCCTACTCAGCTATGTTTTAATTCTCAGCCTAAAGTAGTTCATTTATTTAATAATCAGTACATTACCATTAACTTAATTAATTTCCACATGCTATCAGGAAAATATCTTGTCCAATTCATGATATTCTCACATAATCCAGTTGTGGTATAGATATATAATTCTCACCTAAGTACATACAGAAAATGTCAATAAAAGGAATCTTTTGTGCTCAGGTTTTTCTGTCAGCATGGTCTCTGGCTGTGTGATTTTCTTTTTCACGTTTTCATTTCTGCTCATGCTTTTGATGCCTTTTTTTTGTCAGCCACACTCCTCTGTCTCGACTCACATTGATTTTTGCCAAGCACTTTTTAAATCCATAACTCTGCAGGTTGCATGCAGAGACATAGAAGCAGCGGCGGTGTGGTGCTAGCAGGCGGCACATATAATACTGACGCAACAAACACTTAAGAAAAGAAAGTCAGCGGGCGTAGACCAGGGCATCACAATAAAATATGAAAAGACCTTCTGTTCCCCGCTTCTCAATCTACACTCAAGTTAACTGACTTTAAAATTCTCATTTGTTTCCTCCATGTCCACAAAAATTGTAAATATTAGGAGATGATTGTGATGGCCC